AATAGTAGTTGTCATGATTCCTAGCATCAGACAGTGGACTTGGTACATTCTCGAATGTTTCGCCGGCATCCTAGTTGGCATCCTCAGTGAGTTTTGCCATTCTCCGCACCATGAAAGCTGATGGCATAAAGGGGACTATAAAAGAACTATAAGGACGATGAAGGATTCACAAAAGTGGATATGTCTACCTAACTGCGAATTAACTCAAAAACTACGGCCAATATTGAGGAAATGGAATATTCGGGTGGCCATGAAAGAGGAATCAACACTTTTCATAAGTCTACCGCCGCAACATGAAAGATGAGACAATTTAGATTCTTCAGGAGTTTACTGTGTATCATGCGGCGCAGGCAAGCATAAATAGATTGGCGAAGCAGGTAGAAAAATTAGCATACGGATCAAGGAATATCAAAGGCTCTGCAGGAGACTGGTTAACAAGAGATGAGTATTAGTGGAACACCACAAAGACTAAAAACGAGATCAATTGGAAGGCAACATAAAGAAGGGCTTTAGGCAGAAAAAAACAAAAGGAAGAATAAGATTAGGAAGGCCATTGATATCCTTGGGGAGGAAAATTTAATGAATAGGATATTGGAGGAAGGTAGAGTTAGAGATAATTTTGCCTTCTGCTCAAGCAAACTCGAAGAAAACAAGAATAGAGCAAGGCCAGCAAAAAAGAGATGCCTGGATCAAGGATCTATCTCTAACCTAAGGAAAAGGGATCGCGATGAGGAAAATGGGAGGCGGGGGTTTTCGGCAATCAAGCGAAGACGTTTTCAGTGAGTGATGTCCGTTTCGAATAAACCAGTACAATTTTGGGAGCCTGGCAATCAAGAAGCTGGGCAGACGCATAAGCAAACCGTCACAGAACTTCGGCATTATGGCCCAAATGTACTAAAAATCCACTTGAGATTCAGCATGCGACCAGAGATAGGCGTCCACAGTTTGCTAACGTAACATGAATTAAATCAAGGAGACGACTCGTGGAAGGAATGCCTGATATCTGCAAGCATGGGAATCAGAGCCTAGGCGCTCTACTCGGTGAGGCTGCAGTTTACGTGCTTCTAGGGCCTTGAGAAATAGCGCCTGGAGTGAAATGCACACAGGGACTGGACCCAAGTGAAATCGGTCATCCAGAAAGATAAGAAACGGATCTACGGGATCATGAGGGGATCCGGATTGTAGGTCCGAGTCGGATTAGCTGATCGTAAGAGAGGGGGTCGGGATGAAGAGCAGGTGTGATGAGGCCACACTAGATTTGCCACAAAAGGGCACAAATTTTGACGAGTGGAATGTAAACAAGTCAGAAGTTCTGATAGGGCGGGAGTTGGATAAGAAGGTTAAAAGTAGATAGATAGGCCAGGACAGAAAGGAGTGATAGTGTAACCTTTTTCGGCACAACGTTTGTCGAGGGATTGAAATTACTTGTCTCTTTTACAAGTTCGTAGCTTGGCAACACTCACAGATGATGCCGGTGAAACGTCTGAGAATGTTCCAAGTCCACTGTCTGATGCTGGGAATTATGACAACTATAATGGCAGACGACTTCGGACTTGGTGCGTTCTACGAATTCACCCTGACAACAAGACCATTTGCGACAACGAGGTCAACCCACTTTTTTAAGAGATACTAAACTTTTTTAACAACATTGATTAATTGCCATTATTCAACACGCCGTTAATCGGCTTAAATTTTCCATGAGCCGAAACTTTGTTGGCATAAGACTCCTTTAAGGCTAACGTAAAATAACTTCGCTTATCATTTCTGTTGAATATATGATCGATTTGACTTAACCTACTTGTATACTAGTATTGTTTAACTATTTTTACCATGTTGAACGAGGAAAAAATTTTGAAATATATTTACTAGAAACTTAAGAGCTTCCTGCTACAATTTTCGCGTGCTCTTATGTCCATAATATGTTATCGGGCCTTCTGCCTTCTTCTGAACCACAATATTTTCGTGTCTTCAAATATTTAACCATTAATCGTTGAGACTTATCACAAAAGTCATATTTCCTCAAAGCTTAAAGCATCAACTTACTGCTTTGTCCTCGGATATTGGATGTATTATATAACTGTTGACTAACATCACTTAAAATATCACCGATAACAATATCTGAAATTAAGAATACTTTTTCAATTTCTATTTAGGTGGCAACAAACCTTTGAAAGCGCACTTAAACCTCTTCGCAACATCGATTTTCTCTGAGACACGGCTTTAAAACAACTTGATTTATTGCCCTCTAGAGGATGATTTTGAGTTGAATAGTTTGGTTAATATTTTTCTCTTATACTCAAGCCACATAGACCTTGCTAACAAAATTTAGTTGAATTTCAAACTCAATTCACTGGAACCTTCCTCAAAAGTCTTTTGAATTTATCACGAAGGTAGATACTCAAAACACTGTATTATGTAGGGTATCATGTCTAACGTATGAGTCTTATCTAAATTACTCTATAAAAAACCTTTTTGCCTTGGCGGCTTAGGGTAATTCTACTCGTTTCATTTTCTTCTTTATCAGAAGATTATTAAATTATGATATTTCTGAAAAATCTTTTCGCATTTTTTATCCTTACTCGATTTTGAGAATATAATATACATTATAATAAATTATGAATTCCATTCTTTACTTCGTTGTTAAGGCTACACAATCAGGTATATTTAGATGATTTACACAGGATATTCCTAAATAAGTCATCTTCAAAGATTGGCATGTTTTAGAATATCATCTAACCATAATTTCTACTCTAATATATATATTTGTTTAATTTACAGACCGAATCAAAGTTGTTCAGTGTCAACTTTTTCCGGTTATTCAGAGTTATGCGACTTGTCAAGTTATTGAGTCGTGGTGAAGGGATACGGACTTTGCTGTGGACATTCATCAAATCATTTCAGGTAGGACTTAATGGATTATAATTTTTTTGTCAGTCATTATAATTATTGATAAATGAAAATTTTAAGAAAAATTTACTTCAGATGTGCACACAATGGACTATCAGAAGTTGCATAGTATTTATTATACTAACTATACCTAGCTCCTTTTAAGAAACACCATCCTTATTCCAAGATTAGTGTTTTAGATTCCCTAGCTATTCTCTACGAAAAGTCCTGATGAGTTTCTGTGTCTTCTTTTTTAGCCAAAATTTTAATTGCTTTTTTGACTGTAAGAGCAAATCCAACTAGTGTAGTTCCGCTTTGTCCAGTATCGGACATAAAGGTGAATTACTCCTCAGCGAAGCTATTTTCATCCATTTTTCAGCTACTTACATTGCCACATTTTGACGAACCAGTTGTCTATTTCAGAAATAATAACAAGAACATGTTCGCTTAATCAATGACTTCACTATAAATAGGAGTTGGGGGAGTCCTGGCATGCCTAAGATGTTGCATCTCGCTTTTGACCCACTGGCACCCATAGCCGTTTAGTAGAGTGGACTGGTAAAATCTATACGATACTTATGACTCGGTATCGAATCCCATTGGGGGTGTTGATGAGACCTATGTGAGGTCGAAACTTCAGTCCATACTGAATGAGATAGCCCTTTGTGAGGCAAAGCTAAGTGAAATTTAATAGCATTGTGAGGCCTACTCATCTCATTGCAGGAAGACTCAACTACCAGTCCTTAGACCACCTTACGCGAGCCAGAGTGATACATTTTATGTTCAAAAATTACTTATAATTTCAAAACCTACTTTTATCGAAACGATTTGATAAATACCTTGCATTTCGCTTTTCTTTATTTACAGGCACTTCCTTATGTTGCTCTTCTGATAATTATGCTATTCTTCATTTACGCTGTTATCGGGATGCAAATGTTTGGTAAGATCTCTCTGGTGAACCAGGATAGTGCAATAACTCCGAATAATAATTTCCAGACATTCCTTCAATCAGTCCTAGTTCTTTTTCGTTCCGCGACCGGAGAGGCCTGGCAGGAAATTATGTTGGGCTGCATTTATCGTAAGTTCATTCATAAACTATTGAAGTGGGTTGACCTCGATTTCGAAATTTGGCCGGGTTGTCAAGGTGACTTAGTTAAACGGACCTTTGTTTGCCCTTGGTTTTCGTAATTATCATAATTCCCAGCGTCGGACCGTAGACTTTGTGCATTCACAGACGTTTCGCCGGCAGTGGTAAATGAAGTCGATAGATTGACCAACTTTATGTCGAAACAATTGTGCACTCACTCCTCTTTCTGTTCTGACCCATCTATATACCGCCTACCCTATGCTTTGTTTATATTCATCCTCCAGAGCTATACCCTTTTAGCGAGTTTAGTCTGACGTCATCACACCTGCAGATGCCTTATCCCCCTTCCTCTTAATTTGCTGATCCAACCCGGATCTCCCTCATGGTGCCGTAGATACGCCTCTTATCGTTCTGGTTTACCAATTTCACTCGATTCCAGTCCCAGTTTATTTTATTTCGTCTTACTTCAGTAACAAGTACACTGCCACCTCACCGAGCAGAGTGCCTAGGCTCTGATTCCCATGCTTGCAGATATTAGACATTGCCTTTATGAGTCATCTCCGTGATTAAACCCATCCACTCTGGGCAAACTACGAATGCATATCTCCGATCGTCTGCAATCTCTCTGGTGGATTTCTAGTCTATTTGGCTGTAATGCCGAATTTCTGTGACGGCTTTGATTAGTCTGTCCGCCTAGCCACGTGACAATCAGGCCCCAAAATTGTAAGTATTTCTTCGAGCAGACTACCCTCACTTCCGAAAATTCCTTACCTGTTTCATCCTTGCGAGCAATGTTTCTCTGGACCATAATAGACCCTTGATCCAATCGTCTCCTTTTTTACTTGTCTTTTCGTAGCCTTGTTTTCCCTAAATTTTCTCAGACAATAGGCAAAGTTCTCGCTAACTCTGCCTTCTTACATTGTCCTGTTCATTAGATTTCCTTATTCAAAAATGTCAATGGTCTCCATAATCTTCCTTATCCTTTTTTTTCTGCATAAGACCCTTCTTTCTGTTGCCTTCCAATTTATCTCGTTTCCAGTCTGTGTGGTTTCCCACTTTTTCTCATCTCTCGTTATCTATTGTCCTGCAGAGCCTTTGATGTTCCTTGGTTCGTATGCTAATTTTTCTACCTGTTTCGCCAATAAAATTGTGTTTGCTGAATCCGCATGCTATGCAATAGACTTTCGAGCAGTTAAATTTGTCCATCCTCTTATGTTACGCGGATAGACTTGTAAAGAGTGTTTTTTTCCTCCGTGCTCACTCGAATATTCAATTTTCTTAATATTGGCAATAATTTGTAAGCTGGTTCCTATGAAGGGAGGCATATCCACTTTTGTGAGTCTTTCTCCATCCTTACTAATATTTTATAATCACTTTCCTGCTATCGTCTTTTTATGGTCAATATGTTTCTTTGTATTGCTTCTCTCGAGTATCCGTTGCCGAGGCACATCCAGATCAACCTTTCCAATTCTTCATCCCAGATTTCCATGTACGGTAATTGCAGGCTTCTGATGATCTTGCTCCTCAAAATTTCTATCTTCATTCGGTAGTTATGATGAGACCCGTAATTGAGTATTATTCCAGTATATGACTTCTTTATTAAACATTTTCTCTTGAGTGTCCCATTAGATCGAACAACTTCAAGGGAAACTGCCCCTTTTCTTCTACTTCCATTGTGAATCTGATTCTTTCATCAATCTGGTCTATAGCCTTAAGCAAATCCTCCAATTTTTATCTTCTATGCGACCAAAGTTCGAAGGAGTCATCCAGGTATCACGTAAACACATTTGATTGCAGCTGTGACGTCTTGAAATTTTCTTCAAATTTGTCCATATATGCATTCGCCAATAGAGGTGAGAGCGTCGGTCCCATAGGAGATCCAAATGTCGGCTCATATATATTACCGTTGAATATAATTAGGTAGTTCTTATTGTCAAGTTTGTTAGTCATGTTAATGACTCCCTTCTGATTCTCTCTGCTTCCGAGATATCTCGGTCCAAGATCTCCAGCACCTTTTCTCTATAAATTTTTGGGTACATAGATTGTACATAAAAAATTACCAATAATTTTGTTTCTTCCTTCATCATGTTTTTGTTCCTTTGAGAAAATTCAATTAAATGCTTCACTCTGTTTGATAATCTTTCGTTTACCTTCTTGAGTTTTACGCGTGTACTTTGCCTATTTGTGTTTTGCCATACTTGTTGACTCAGTCTTAGTTGTCCCCTTTGTGTAGCTTCGTTAATCCGTTGATGGATGATTCGTAGTCCATCCTTTTTTATTGTTAAATTTATTGTCTATCCGTCGATCCCTCAGTTCTTATGTATATCTTTCAGCATATCAC